GGAGAGCCTGCGGGTGGAGGGGAAAGCTCGCCGCTTTGATTCTTTCTTGAAGTTTTTTTTAACGCTGATCAGGTCACCGGGGAGGGCTGAGGAAGGTCTGTCACGCTCAAGATGGAGGGCTAGTGCACAGGCATTGCTGAGGGGAGACATATTCAGCCAGAGGGCAAAGTCCAGTCTGCTTTGCCCAGTCCCCGGCTGCAGCCGAGGTGGGAGCTCACGCAGCTTGTGCCCTTGGCACCCTTGGCTTTTGGGGCAGGTACCCTCTTAGAGGCAGCAAGGAGCCGTGTGGGTCATGGCATGGTGGGTGTTTGTCTAGCAGCCCCATAGAGGGACCTGTGCGTGGTGGTGAAGGTGAATGCAACCCCCTCTCCCCGTGGCCATGGCGGGCAGCGAGGCTGCAGGCAGGCCTGCTCCTGCCTACGTGCTGGGCATAGACCTGGGCACCACATCGGTCAAGGCAGCCCTGTTGGTAGAGGCAGAGCAAGGGCAGGTGGTGGCAGAGAGCTGCTCCAGGGAGACGCAGGCACACACCAGTAGCCTGGAAGCTGGACCGCAGGTAAGGGGTTGCAGATGGCACTGCTGGCAATTTCAGGATACCGGTCTTGCCGGTTATGTGGCTACGTTATGTGGACTTCAGTGGCTTTGCTGGCCTAGAATAATGGAGATGTGTGCTGCGTGTCTCTAGATGTCTGAAAGTAGAATTAAAATGTTCTCTGTATGCTGTTCATGAAAGTCAAGTAAAGCTGCTTGTTTTAAAAAAGGCCCAGGTTTTGAAAAATTGTATAAGACAATGTAAAATTACTCTCCCACAGACCATCGCCTTGTCTTTGATGCTTTCAGTCAGACCTATTGGCCTGTCACAAAGTAATCTGAATCTTAAAAAGTGTGAAAGCTGGAAAACAGCTTCTGTTGAGGCACACTTTGGTCAGTTTGCTGAGTAGATCCGTTTGCTGGGTAGTTCTAGGAACAGGGTATCCAGAAATGAAGTATCAGCATCATCAAAATCAACACCGAGTAGATATGGAGGAGCTTTAGGAAGGTGTAAGGGAGACTGCCTGCCAGTCAAAACCCAGAGATAATCCTCTTTGTGAGGAAAAAGAAGAGCAATATATAAGGTGTACTATTGAAAGCATGTAGTGAGTGTTAATGGTTTGGTTTTGTTTTTTTTTTTAAAGGTAAAGTTGGGTATGATAACTTAAGAAATGAAGAATTATTTGGCCTTCAGTTTAAGAGGCTGTTATCTCATTCTCAGCTTGCTAGTATTGGTTTTTAGTTTCTGTGGTTTTGTGGGTTTTCTGCCTTTTTTTTTCAATTTAGTAGTGAATGTTATCCTAATACATGCTGTTAAGCTAAATGAATTCTGTTCTTCTGACTAGAGTAGTAGTAGTGTTTAATAAATACACTCTGTGAATCCTAATGGTCTCATACTCAGAATAATGCTTTATGATTGCAGGGAATGGAGCAGAATGTCCAGAGAATAATAAAAGCATTGAATGAATGCCTTGCTGCTCTACCTCAGCAGCAGCTTCAAAGAGTCTCTCACATTGGCATTTCAGGACAAATGCATGGGATTGTATTTTGGAAAAGAGATAAAGGTAACATTAATTCTTTGGCATTCTTGTTCAGAGTTTTACAATGCAGAAAATAAAATTATAACACTGAAATGATCTGTAGGAAACTGTTGCATGTTCAGTTGACCATGTTGTTTACACAGATTAAAGATTTAGTCTTATGAGATCTCTGCGGAGTCAGCACAACTATAAAGATGAAGAAGGAATAACATATTTGTAGCTTGCTAACTTCTTGTCCATCATTTGCTGTCTGCTGCGAGTTGAAAGGACTGAATCATGTGAATGACTTTCTTGGGAGGGCGAATGTTCTTTACCTCAGAAAACACTCAACTAGCTGTTGCTCAGTATCTCAATACCTTCTAATGATTCTACAATAGCAGTATTAGCAGTTCTGTGTATGCCTTGAAAAATAAACTATGTTTGATCTTCATGTTAGAAAGAGAAAAGGAGGAGAAATATTGAAGTTCAGTAAATGGTTTTCAGTCTTGTATTTTTCCCCTCCAAAAAAAATCTCAAGGCATTATTTTCCTAGCAAGTCATCGACTGTCATGTTACATTCATCTTGCTGCTTATGCTTCTGTTCATAGGTGCTGAAAAAGAATTATGGTCTTGATTTTGAACGCTCAGCTGCTTGTAGAATGAAGGGCTGAGACCTCAGAAACAAAATCAGCCGCACAGTGAGGTAGTCACGTGAGGCTTGGTTGTGCAAATACTCAAATAATCTTTGTGACAGTGAGGATGTTTGAAAAATTCAGGCCTTGGGTTGCCAACCCTGTAAGGTAGGGATGGATTACCTTCTTGCTAAGCTGCTATAAACCTACTGAAGTCCAAGGCTCAGTTTTCAGAATGTGGTTCCATGTCTTATTTCTCTTAACCTTATGATGTGCATGTCTGAGCAATTATACAAGTCTTATAAGAATAGGAGTTGTGCAGATTAAGCCAAGATTTATTGTAAGACACAGAATAGATTTCCCAAAAGTGTTGGTCACTGACTGTCAAAAGTTGTCAGGGTCTTAATTGCTTTAAGAGACACTATGCTATTCATTACTGGCTGTAATTTTACATTAAATACTAAGATGATTAGAAAGAAAGAAATCCAAAGGCTGATGGACTGAAGGAGCTGTTGCTTGCTTTTCAGCTGTCCCAAGGGCTGCATAGCAAAGCCTCATGGGTTCATGGTAGACATAGATTCTTATGTCATATTGGTTAATATTTTATTTCCTAAAGCCACATGCCACTTTTGTTGCATTTCTGTCAAGTGAAGGAGGGCGTTTGCTCTCATTTGGTTTGAGTAGTCTAAGTGAATCCATGCACTTTGGGACACAAATTACATTTTTAATAGCATCCTTTAGGGTTAGATTTATGATTAATTATATTTATTAGAATCCATTTAAAACCAGAAAAGCAAACCAATTGGAAATTAAGTTCAAAAAGACTTGATAGAACAGGGAATTAAGGGTACAAGAAAAAAAGTATGTGTTTGCTTTGCATGTTTCACATAGTACTTCCCAGCTTTCACAGCTGCTTTTTGACTGTAACTTCAAATCCCTGTATCCAGCTCAAGAAAAAAAATCCTTTAGCTGTATTTGTACTAGTCAGTTAAGCAGTTGGGTCTCTTCCCTGACCTGTAGTACAAGTGGCACAGCACAGCTTGAAACTCTGCTCCCATCCCCAGCCAAAAAGCAAAAGGTTGCTTCAGTTACAGAGCCAGCTGGAGACAGCGTGTGGCCTGTTCCATCCCCACGTTGTGGTCAGGTGTCATGTGAGAGAGCAGTGGTTGTCAGAGGCCGAAGCTGTGCCATGGAGTGTGCTGACAGACATCACCTGCCAGTGCTTGAGCTCAGCCTCTGCTTAGTCTGCTGCTCCAACAGGACTGTTCTGCCTTTGCAGAACTGCATGTGGTGAGTGTGTCAAGGCAAGAAGTGGTGCGGTGGACCAGAGCAACAGCAGACATTGCTGAGAAGGCTCTGAGAAGTTGCCATAATTTAGCTCAGGGCTTTACATGAAAGAATGTGAAGGTTTCATCAAAGGTGTAGTGTTTTCTGTTCAAAATGAACATGCTGGACAGGTAAAACTGAAAACTGAATTAAAGCCTATTCTACCTTTGGTAAAGCTTTGTGTAGCACAGAGGATGGACACTCTTTAGGACTTTGCAGTCCATTGCTTAATACACATAGATCCAGATTTCTTGTTCCCTTGGCTCAAAAGGTGATGAAACTACATGCTATCTATCATAGGCAGTCCATTACTAATACAGCATTCTCTAGGTCATGATGTGGCAGATCCAGCTAAGCGAGAGCTATCATATCAGCTCATTGCCTCCCGTAGCAGAACTGTGATTTTTTTTCTGTGGGTCACCTGTTATTTAAGTTGTATCATTAATATTTCAAGGTGCAAGTTGCTTTTTTTGTATAGGCACCAGGAGTTGTCATAGAGAAGGAAGTCCTTGGGCACCATTCTCTTTTAGCAAAGGATGACTGGCATTATGATGTTATCTAGGACTGAAAAGTATGACTAATTAATATAATTACAATCACTATGGGCTCTGTTTCTGCTCTTTTTCCAATATATTTGACAGAATATCTAGAGTGCCCACAAATGAAGAATGCCAGGCAGACTATGCTGCAGGGAATCACTGGATTTCTCAGATACTGTGTGTTCCAGGGTGCAAGTGGACAGACTGTGGTACAGGCCCTACCTTTGAGCCAGAGGACGTCAGTCATCTGATCACTTGGCAAGACGGCCGCTGCAGTCCTGCCTTCCTCTCTTCTCTTCCTCTCCCTCAGTCACATACCAGCTTGGCTACAGGATTTGGATGTGCCACAGTCTACTGGTATTTAAAGAACAGGTACATTGTTTCTCAAAAGGGCTTCTGTATCAGGCTCTTTCACTGGCAGTTTCTCATCTTGAGTTTATGTATCAATTGCATTCTTGTAGCACAATTGTTTTCTTCTAGCATGTTAATACCATTACAGTCTGAGGGGCTGCATTTCCATGTAATTATAGTATTAATTAGGTAGTCAAAAATATTTAAAATGGCAGTATTCAGTATAAACTATAAGCAACTGAGCACACAAGATCCTCTGACCTCATAAAAATACTACAGATTTCTTTAATAAAAAGAAAAGCTTTTGACCATATAGTAACAGAAGCCTTAAAATATTATAAAATAATTGTAGTCCATGCTGCCGCTCAGAGGAGCTCTGCTCATGCAGTTTGAACACTGTAATTTTGCCTTGTGCAGATTGTGAAAAGTACAAACATGCCTAAAACAGTAACAGAGTTGCTTTGTCTGGTTGCTGCCAGATGCTAAAACAAACAGTCTCTAAATTAATTTCAGTTCCTTCCTTCCTTCCTTAGACACTGAGATCCTTATGAGGTGTTACAAATGGTCTGCTTTGTTGTGGCATGTTTGCAGAGGATATAATTTTTCACTTATGACTTGGCATCAGCAAGATTTGCTCTTCAGTTTTGTCCGCAGTATGCTATGTTTCTCAAAGAGCCAATGTCTTCCTCTGCAATTGAGTTCAGGTTCAGTAAGTGGGGAAAAACTTGCTTGATCTTGGTTTCTTCCAGCGTATGTCCAGCAAATACATGGAGCATGGCATGATCTTACTTTAGAGCTGTATAACTCAGGAGTTCAGCTGCTTAGTTTTGTTCCTGTTTTGTTTCACTATTTGGTACCTTTCCATTCAGATAATTTGTGGATCATAGAACAACTGTGGGAATTTACCTATTTTTCTCAAATGCTCCAGGATCAAGAGTGATATGGTTTTGTGCAAACAATTACTACCTTCCTGGTAACTTTTGCAATGGCATGCTTCTCAACCTAGACAACATTCTTTAAAGCTGCTCTCTCTCCATCTTCCATCAGGAGATAAGTATTGCTGTTGTGGTAACAGCTTGGAAAACAAATTCCATTTAAAACAAAGCAAAACAAAAGAACAAAATGCAGGTTGATTCCTGGGATTGCTGTTGGTTTTTTTAGATGGGACCACACATGTCTGAAGTTCCTGTAGCAGTGGAGGTAATCTTGCTCTCACTGCCTTAAAGCACCCCTCAATATTTTTGTTTTTAAAATGTTTTCTTTAAAAGTCCAGATTTTCTGAAGTCTTACGATGCAGCTGGCACTATCCATGACTATGTGGTTGCCATGTTGTGTGACCTGAAGAAGCCACTCATGTCCATCCAGAATGCTGCCAGCTGGGGATATTTTGATTGCAGAAACAAAAGCTGGAACACCGACATGTAAGTGCCAAGGTCATTCAATGGATTTTGTGTATTGCTTGTGTCAGGCAACGTGAACACCTCTTTGGGCTCTAAGTATGAATGTACAGATAAAAAGTGATTGAAAATTACTCCTAATCAATTGTTGTGTGGCCTGTACGGAAGAACTATTGAGAGCTTGCTCTGGTTTGTAAGGTACATATGTTGAAATTATATAAAATCTGGCACAGTATTTTTAGAAATACCAAAGACATAAGAGCTGAGAGACTCGTCAGTGACTCCCTGTATACCAACCTGTTCTCTCCCTTTCTGTGGTGGGATGGGATGGACAAGAGCATGGTGTAGCCAGGGTGTCTCCCCTGTGATGGTGAAAGACAGTTATTACTCTCTAGTTCTTTCAGCTGAGCTCCTTTGTAACTACTAGGACTTACCTGTGATAATAACTAAGAGTTATTAGGCTACAGAAGTCTGATGGGGAATCAGTTTATTTATCTAATTTATTTTAATGATTTGCTCTTTCAGGGCTGAGTGCTAAGGCCTTATATATTTCAGGGCTTAGGTTAGGCCAGGACTCCATGGTGAAAAGATCTGCTCATGAAGGTATGAAAGAGTGACAGAAACTTGCATTTGGCCTACTGAACTTTTACTAATTTGGTGTTGCTGCTGTAGCAATGTAGTGTATCTTGCAGTTGATTGTGCAAGGAGTTTGTTGGACTTAGCTCTTTGTGATTTGGTTTTGAACCACTAACTGCATGACAGCTTGAAGTTCTTTGACACTTACAAGTTGCATTTTTTTGCTGTTTTTGCAATTGTGCCTTTACCCTGGAACTGCTTGTCCATATGACATCAGTAGGTTAAACCTGCTGAACATGCACTGCAGTATAATCTCAGGTAATCGGATTGCATATAAAGGAATACTATTTACTCTTCTAGACTCTTCTGGTTTACCCAGCCCATTGAGCTGGAATGCTGCCCCTTGTCCAGGACAAAGCTTTGTAAGCATGGGAAAGCACCCATAAAACCAGCAGCCACAAATGTATTGCCAGGTTCATCACTGACTTAAAAGACATCTTTGTTGTCATGCCACGTGTTTCCATACTATTTTCCTGCAATAATATTGTTCTGATTGCAGATTGAAAAAGTCCGGCTTTCCTGTTCACTTGCTTCCAGAGGTGGGAGACCCTGGCAGTATTGCAGGCAGGACAATCTGTGCATGGCATGGAATACCCAAAGGAGCAAAAGTAGGAATTGCTCTGGGAGATTTCCAGTGCTCTGTTTATTCCTGTCTGACTGAGAGGACTGATGCAGGTATGATAATTTTGGTGGCTGATTTGGTTTTCTCATTGTCCGCCTTCAGGGTAGCCTAGTAAAACACTGATACTTTTTTTTTCTTTTTTTTTCCTTTTGTGTTCTAGTTCTTAATATCAGTACCTCTGCTCAGCTGACTGTCTCGATGCCCCTGGGTTTCCAGCCTCCAGAGACACCAGATCCTTCCTCAGCTGTTACTTATTTTCCTTACTTCAACGGTGACTACTTGGCAGTGGCAGCATCACTTAATGGAGGCAATGTGCTTGCAACGTTTGTGGACATGGTGGCACGGTGGACAGAAGAGCTAGGTAAGCTATTTCAAGGATAGTTAAAGATTAAAATTGAGGTTGATCAGCAAGGTAAAAGGAAGCTAAGGCAAAGGAACAAGCCTAGAGCTGCTTTGTCGTGACATGTGAGGAACAAGGATGTAGCTCTTGGGTCATGCTTGCTAGATCTTGAATTTCCTGCTGTAGCTTATGGACATGCTGGGGCAGTCATGCTTGGACTTCACATTCACGTTGCCTCTAGGTGTTGTGTTTTCTTTTGTTTCAAGAGCACAAGAGAATTATTTTCTGCAAGTTGTTTTTCAAAAGGAAAGGTCAGCAGAGTTGTGGACAGCCTCTAATTTTGCATGACTGCAGTCCAAAAGAGTCCCTTGATTATATCAGTTGCCTTTTGCTGCATATTTTGCAGCACTGTAATGTATTTTAAGACTCAAACTCATCTGATATCTTCTAAGTGCTTTAAACATGGTCTTTGCAGGACTTTTGCTTTGTAATCTCTTTGAGTTTTGCAATGCAGAAATAAGATCTGAAATTGTTCTTTCAGTGGGTATTTGAACTCTTCATTTACATGCAGTCCAGCCACTGAACCAAGTCTGCCATGACTGCCTTTAAAGTTGTTGGTTGGTGTATCTTAGCACAGTGTTAACAAAGAGGAACGGCTGTATTATCAGAAAAGATGGTTTCTGTCATCAGAAAAAGATTTCTAGTGTCACAGATAGTAGATACAATTGGATAGGAGAACTATGTGTTATAATCCTGGAAAATAATTACCTTTGGGATGTGGAAAAAGAGATACAATATTTTGCTGAACAGGTGAGTCAGAATCCATTTTAAGTCTCCACATGTAAGATACACTAGACCTCTTCAGATTGGTAACATGATATTTCTCATCTGCAGGACTTCATATTCAGGAGTCTGCCATCTATACAAAGATAATCAAAGCAGCTTTGGCCCAAAATGACAGCAAACTCTCAGTCCACCCAACTGTATTTGGAGAGAGACACATTCCTGAGCAGTTGGCGTCAGTGACCAATATTGCTGTCTCTGACCTCTCCCTGGGTCATGTAACCAGAGCTCTGTGTCGTGGCATCGTTGAAAACCTCTGTTCCATGTTACCTGTGCAGCGCCTGCTGGAGATGGGAGTGAGGAAGATTCTGGGGAGTGGGAGCGCCCTTGCCAGGAATGAAGTGCTGAGGCAGGAAGTGGAAAGGATTTTTCCATTCCCCATGGCTTATGGGAAAGATGTCGATGCTGCTGTGGGGGCTGCCATGGTGATGTTCCACAGAAAATAAAGTCATTGTTTGGAATGAGATGCAGCTTTTTTTTTCCTTTTTTGATTTTTTTTTTTTCCCCCTCCTGGCTGTAAAGTGTTTCCTTTCAGTTCGTTCACTTTTTCTGGAGTTGTATTCAACATGCCATCTCACTCATTACAGCAGAGAATAAAAGCTTGCACTGAATGTCTGCTTCTGGGTGTACACATTTCATTGCTCTGTCATTCCTGTTTGTGAAATGGGAGGTAATTATCACATTAAATTTGACTGAGTGACTAGGAAAAATCCATTAACTTTCTGCATAAAATGATACTTCATGTGAGGCTCGTTTTCCTGGTAGGAAATACATTTAGGAGGACCAGGAGAGATGTAACTTAGTCTCATGCTTTCATTAGACTTCTTGTCCTTAAACTGTCTCACAGTATCCATACACATAGGCAGCAGATCAGGATGTCAGTCTTGTTTGGGGAGTTTGGTGGCTCTTGAGCTGGTGAACTCAGAGTTACAGAAACTCAATTCTCATCTCTTTCAGCTTTGACTTCCCTTTTGAGCCGAAGCACAAGTAACATTTTGAGAGATGGTCCACAAAAATGGTTTGTTCTTGTAATATAGTGCATAGCTATTGTAGTGTATTTGATCCGAAGCTGTTTCTGATTCTGCCCTTCATGTATTGTGTCAAACTGAGCTTTATTGCTGCCAGGCTAGACTCTAATCTGCTTTTAATGTTAAGTATTATTCGTGCAAACTCCTTTAAAATTTCCAAGTTTTTATCCCGTATTGTGCTCTTAAAATTTATTTCTCCCCCTACTCTTTATAAATGTTTTCACATTAAAATACTTTATCTTTCTAAAACAAGATGGATGTACACCTTTTTTTGCTCAAATGAGATCAGGAGGCAAGTAAGATAATTCCATGTTATCTACATACAATTTCATTACTGAGAAGCCTGTCTTGACTGAAATAGGGAAGTGTATTCCTATCTTAAACATTAGCAACATCAGGACTGACTCATTCTTGTGAGAAAGCTGTTCCGAATTCTGAGATCTTAATTACAGAGGTGGATTAATTTCTGTCTCCCTCCACCCTCCCTCCCTGTATCTATTCCATGCCATGGTTAGGGAACTATTAGCGTACATAGAAATTACAGAGAAAGTGTTGACTAGATTAAAGGTTTTGGAAGTCTAAATTTGTTATATGTTATTTTCCCTTTTATGTTACTATAAAAGATTTATTATCAACAGATCTGCTTCCATTTTTTACTGAATAACTGGGAAGAGCTGATAATACTATTGCAGCGTGCTGTTAACCATTAAACCAAGTGTTGTTTCCAGAGGCTGGTAAATTGTGGCCTGGTTTTAGGTTCTATTAGTGAAGTCAAGGCTATTTCTGACCTGCAGGCCAACTTTGGTTATGTCTTTAAGATCTCTAGCACATCTGCTGATGTTTTTCTATTTGCAGTGATGGAGAGAGCTTTTTATCAGTAAAATCGTTCTCAAGCACAGAAGTTGCTCAAAGCCTAAGCAGCACGTTGGATGCAGGCCTGAGAAAAAGGAAGAAATTCCTTCTTGTATATTACTGGCCTATTTTGATGAGCATTCACATCTCCTTATGAGCTTACACCTTTAAGCGAAGTCCCTGCTGAGATGGAATGTGGTATGTCCCACAACTGTTGCAAAAAGCAATGGAGTGCTGCTGGTAAGAAGAAAATAGTATCTTCACAAGAAACACAGGTCAGGGCTGATGAAGGAGGCATCTAAACTCAGAAAATAGCAGAAAACTCCCGAAATGTGTACGTCAGAGTACAGTAGGACTGAAAGGAGCTGATATCTGGAAAGGGAGAAGAGAGATAAGAAGCATTTAGCAAAAAGGGACCAGCAAGAAGCTAGAGGCTGAATAAGAGAGACCTTCCACTTCCACCTTCCAGTAGTTTTCCTACTGAGTCTCTGCTTTAGAAATGGTGAAGGCGTTAATCATAATGCTGAATGGGATGCTTTGCTCAGCAAAGCTCCAGGAGCACCAGCTAAGGACCTGTGTTATTGGTAATGTATACTTGCATTAACAAATAGGCATTTTATTTCTTTTGAGTGCAATGCCGTAGGGTATATTAAGTAGTAGAATTATTTTGCTGTTAAATAGGCAAATACATTATTCTTTTATACAGATAGAGATAGATAGATGGCTAGACAAGAAAGGTAGTTACCTTTTACGAAACATAAGCCAGATAATTTCATTGAATGATTTCATAATCTAACTGGAAACCTCAGTAGCTAAATGTTTGGAGGTTGCTGGAAAAGCTATTTCTCTATTTTTTTGGGAGAAAGATCTTATGTGAATTATATATTTAACAATATATGCGGAGTTCTTAATTTTAAAGGGTGTTAGATCCATCCTGGATTAGATAAGAATTGTTTTCTTCCTAATGGCATACATATTTAACAGGTGACTGTCACATATATATATTATTTAAGTAAAACATAGTAGGAATATGGAACAATAAGATGGCCTTAGGAATTTCTGTCATTGGTTCTTCCTCAACTCTGGAATCAGCTTATCTTTAAAATACTTGGTGGGGCTGTACAGCAACCACCCACGAAAGATGCCCAGAAAGGTGACTGAACTCAGAGAAGAGCTGTGGCATATTTTACAAAGTTCTGTAAATTGGAATGAAACTGTGACCCCCAGAAACAATTGTCTGGTGGTTTGGGTTTTTTGCAAGCTTGAGTGTATTTACAAAGAGGAAATGTGGAGAATATCCATTACTAAATGCAATTAAAGGGGAGGGAAAAACAGCAGCAACTTACTGCAATTCTTGTAAAAAGCTTTGCTAAACTCCTGGGAATAGAAGATACTGATGCTTCTGGTTCCAGAATTGTTCTTAATGATCTTACTGCTCTTTTCTCTGTTCTTCTAGTGAACTTCCCTTGATTCTAAAAATCATCAGGCACATAGAACACTTTTGCAGACAAATGAAGTGGAGAAGCAAACTCTGAGCTTTTTTCAATCCAGGCACCTTGGAGGAGGAATATCTGGCACCAAATTCCTATAGATCAGAGGCTGAGATTGGACTATTCTGTGGAAGACGGGATTTTTTTGCAATATTTGTAAGTTCTGCAGATATATTTGAATAGCATGGTTGGTTGTTATTTGTAAACTTTCTGTAGTATTTATTATAAGCTGTGATGTGGTTAGACAATATATTTCCTTATCTCATTGATTGTATCAAACTTCAACATTCAAAGAGTTCAAGTAGGTTATGCATTTTTTAGGGTGAAGAATGTTTTTTTTTAAAGAATCCTTCCACAAAATTTTGAAGGTTCTTTCACTTGAAAATTCATACTGATAAGGAAAGGTGGCTTTGACTTCATTATCAAAGATATTCTCAACGGGGTTTAGAAATGAAGGCATGTATAATGACTAAAACAGCTTTGAGCAAATTGTCAGGG